ATTTTTGTTTTTTTTTTTTAATTAGAATGTATGGTCTTTTCCAGACTACCTTTTACTTTGGGAATACCGCAATAATTTGTGCCGGTTTGTTTATAATGTTAGGTAGGTAGATTAATTTTACGTCTGTGTTGACAATCTATCATTTTTATACTCAACAATATATATTTTAAGGCGCTGTTGGTTATTTCGCTGCGGACAAATTTGTTAGAATGATCTACAAAAATGTCAAATTAGATTAATTTCTTATGCTAGGATATAATATTGCATTAGTTTATATACAGTATTCTAAAAAAATTGCATGTTTTCTTTGGCCGACATTTACCATGTACGTATGTAGAGTTTTGGTTAACTCGGTTAATTTAAAGGGTTCTAATGGAATCATTTAGGATCCAGCATCCCTAGTCAATTGAAAGTTTAAATAATTAATACTAATTAATACCAATTGCAAGCAATTATTTGTTAACTGCCATATGTGTGTATTACAAGCCGATAAGGCAAGATTTTCATTGATTAAGGAAAACTTTAATAGTTACCAAAATCAATACGTATAAAAATATCGACATAATCTTGAAACTCAGAAAAATTTATCAAACTCTACTCAACGTAAATTCCGGGCTTAACTCACTTAAATATTAGTAAATTATCTATCTAACGATCACAAAAAAAAAATAAAATAAAATAAAAATAAAAAGTAAAAAAAAATCAAAAAAAAAAATGGGTGAAGACGACGAAGTGCTAGATGATATTCTTGAACTAATTGGAGACGAAGAGAACGAAAGGTTAAGCAGCTTACAACCTGAACCGTCTACTAGTAATACATACGCCCATGAAGAAAAACGACCAACTAGAACCTCCAACCAAAAACGAAAGTAAGCAACCATTAGTACAATAATATAGTCTACTAGGTTACCGTTATATTATATACATAGTCCTATATATATATATATATATATATATATATATATACACATAAGTAATATGTAATATTAAACATATGGGTATGTTAGTCATATGGTGTATCAAAAATTCGGCTATATATGTTATTGCGTAAACTTATAAATACTGTTCAAGAAAACGCCACTTAGAAATCAAACTTTCAAACGTTTTCTTCTTTCCACTTCAAAAACATTAGTAAACATGCCACACCAACGGAATTTTGGGTGAGATTAAGCAAATTTAAGAAAGATTGTTGAGTTTTGAATAAGAAATAGTTTCTACGGTTAATTTTATTATAGTCAACTAGTTAATTTTTTTCAAAATACTTACTTCAACGTTTCTTTTTTTACTATTTTCTTTATATATTTTGAAGAAGGTCCACCACACCACCCCGTCGTGGAGGATACTCGGAAGAAGACGGTGAGGGCAACGAAAGACGAAGAGATACCGATGAGTTTGATTCCGAGTTATACCATGATGAGGATGATCGAGATAGGTACATACATGCGTCCATTGGTTCATTAAAAAAAAGATTTTTTAAACTTACTCATCGAATATATTTATGAAGATTAGAGAACCTTGTTGAGCTCGATCGCGAAAGAATATTGGCTGAAAGAGCTGAAAAAGTAGGCATCAGTGGTCTATTCGTAATTAGAATATTCAGAATTTTAGATTAACTTTTGTCGTTTTGGCTTCAGATACAACATCATAAAGATTTGGAAGCTGTACAACTAATGATAAATCTTGAAGATGTTTCTTCAACAAGAAGTGTGAATTTTTTAACTTATCATCAAAGTAGAATAAAATTTACCAAATTATTCATACAATATCAATCTTATTTTTCAAAAATATTTAAGGATCTTCTAGAACAAAAGACACAAAAAAGAAAGGTATCGAAGAACTTAAACGTCGACGAGCACAAAAAAATCAAAGTCAGAGAACAAAAGCTGTGAGTGTCAACCCTAATGTCCTGTCGCTGATCTTCACTATAAAACAAAAGATCTCTGATCTTTTGATTCCTTGCAAAGGGATCACTGAGTCCGGAACCCGGGGAACATATTACAACTGGTGACGAAGATGATGTGTTTTATGAAGATGATGAAAGAGGGGAACAAAATAAGGATGATGATTCCGATGTGAGTAACATATAATGTTGATCATACTTTATTTTGTTTATTTATGCATTTATTTTTATTTATTTATTTTTTTTTTAACCTTCATTTTTAGGGTATCACAGTTGATGATATTAGAGATATACAATTAACCAGACATCAATTCAGTGATTGGGTTTATAAGCCCTTCTTCGAGAAAATTGTAACTGGTTGTTTCGTTCGTTTGCATATTGGATTACAAAATGGTAAACAAATCTATCGTGTTTGCGAGATTGTAGGTATGTTTATAACTCTTATTTTATTTTAGTTGTTGCTTTATTGTTGTATTTTTATTAATCAAATGTATTTACAATTCGCACTCGTAGGTGTTGAGGTACCAGAAAGGGTACAACCATATCTAATAGATGCGAACGATAAGGTGAAGACTAATAAAGTATTACGTCTTAAACATGCTGATGCTGTAAAAAGTTGGCAAATGAACATTATTTCGAACGGGAAGTTTGAACAGGTTGGTATTTTATAAAGGTTGTTTAACACTACAAATATTTTATATTCATACTTCAGTTTCGCCTTTATTAGTCTGAGTTTGACCGTTGGACAGTTACCATGAAAATTAAAAAACTTGACTTGCCGACAAAAGAAGCAATAGTAAAAAAGAAAGAACAGATTAAAGGTGCTGATGAATATATTCTATCAGAGGTAAAGCCTACGATAAATTATATGTACTTTATATGAATATAAGCATTAATATTTTGTCTGAATACTGAATATTAGCAAGATGTTGACATAATGATCAAGCAAAAACAAACCCTTCGTGGAGGGGTTGAGCCTCTAAATTTATTAACAGAGAAAACTAACTTGGTGACACAAAAACACTTGGCTGTAGCTCAGGGGAATATAACAGATGCACAAAATTATGCCACACGCCTTGCTGAGATAGATAGGATGATTTCAGAAACTTCTCGTTCCCAAAAACAAGATACGTGGGCTCGTGTTAACGAGCGAAATCGATTAAAAAATTTGGAAGATTCACGTAGAGCAGAAGAGGAGTCCAGAAAAAGCAGAAAAGGTAATTCATTGTATATCTTTTTTTTTTTTTTCCTAATATAGGTAAATTTTGCTTATGATTTGCATCCTTATTGGTCACAGAATTTATTCCTAGGAAATCCATTAAGACTTCTATAAATG